CGCGGCAGGAGAGGACACGCCCCCGAGGGCTGCGCCTGGCCAGACCCCCGGCCCGCGGGCCGGCCTCTCAGCGCTCCAACCAGGAGCTGGGCTGCGGGCAGGGGCTTACTCCCCGAGTCCTCTAGGGGTGGCGCATCCCGCAGTCCCTGTGGCAGAAACTTGGGGGAGGGGTGGGGAAATGAGCCCTGCGTTTGCTCATTCATCCACGCATCCACCCACACACCCAGCCAGCCAACAAATACTTATTGAGCACCTACTAGGTGCAGGGCAGCAGAAGGAGCAGGAAGACAGAAAATTATCATGTGAACAAATATACCCTCAGGAGTCAGATGGTTTTGAGACCTGGAGCAGTTGTGTCTGAGGGATCCACATGGTTTTGGGACAGGAACTTTTAGAGTCAGGACCTGCCCCTAACCGCTGTTTTGCAGTGGTGGTGGTGCGCATGGGAGAAGGGGGTGCATAGAAGCGGGGAAGGAGGTGAGAACACAGGAGAAGCAGGGGTTTCTTCTGCTGCTTCTGTCGCTTACTTTTTGGGCTTCCGGTATTTAAGAAAAACGAATCGAGGGCTCATTATTTCAACAAATACTTATTACCTTTAGGGCACTGGCCTTGGCACTGGGGGTAAAAACCAAGAAGGCAGGGGTACGGCTCCCTACGGAGCAGAAAATCGGGGCGGGGGGCAAACGTGGGGCACTGATGGTGCTCCATGTGGAGGGGGGTACAGGAGGATGTCACTAGGCCAAAAAAAAAATGCATTTCCTTTCATTCCAAGAGACTAGGCGAGCTTTGTCCAGCAGAACATTCGTGATGATGGCGGCGTTTTATACTACCAGTGCTGTCTAACGCAGTAACCACCAGCCGCATGTGGCTATTCCTGAGCACTCAGCTAGTGCAACCGAGGCACTTGCATTTTCATTTTATGTGATTTTAATTAAATATGAATAGCTGCACGTGTTTAGTGGTTGCCTCACTGGACGGCGCTGGTCAAAGCTCTTTACCTCCCCTCTGTTACATAGCAGAGAACGCCTTTGGGTCAAGAACATGTTAAACTCAGCTCTTTCCTTCACCATCTCCCCCCCAATCTGCTCTTCTAGTTACTCTGTTTCCTGATCCCTATAATTATGCTGAACCATCTCCTCCTGGAGAGTTTGCAAAACCATTCGATAAAACAAAACTTTTTCGAGCACCTACTGTGTGCAAGCAGTGGGGACTCAAAGATGCACAAGCAGCCCTGTCCTACGTCTGATCATCCAGCAGTTGTTTCGGCCAATGTTTGGGGGGAAGGACCCCATATCTTTGTTGAGGTGCTAGTTAATATGACCTCTTGCTTCTGTGTATTGTCTGCCCAAGGCAGAGCTCCAGAGACTTGGGTAGAAGAAAAAGCCCAAGATTTGGAGCAAGCAGCCCTGGGCTGGAATCAGGGTTGAGTCCCAGCTCCAGCTCAGTGATTCAGTCACTCGGCCTGTGTGTCTTGTATCACGTCTGTATTCAAGGCAGCTGGATAGCAGAGGGCTGAGGAAGGAACAAACATAAGATCGACTTGAGATTTCTTAACACCGACACTGGATCTAAGAAAATAGTTGAATAATATTTTTAAAGTATCACAAGAAAGAACTTTGAAGTGAGGTTTGGAGTTCTAGCTAAATTGTCAGGTGTTTGAAGGATCAGCAGGTTCATCATACAGAACCCCCTCTTTGAAAAACTGGAGGAAGCACTCCAACCAGAAGAGAAATCAATACAATAGGCGTGCTCAACAATGTCAAGTAGGGAGGATTGAATCACTCCTTTGAATCAGTCCTGTCTAAGGAAATGGTGCAGTGCAGTGACAGCAAAACACAGCCTGAGAGGGTGGCAGAGCCGGCGGGAGTCCTGCCAAGTGAATGCAAAGGGAATGGACCTCGCTGAGGTCACCTCTTTGAGAAAGACGTAGCAGCTGACTCGGGAAGAACTCTCAGATGTGCTGTTATTTTTGTACTCTCTTACAAGGCTTGTCTAAAGCCACCATGCTCTGCCTCTTTAATCCCTGGCTCTAAATGTCCAGGTAACAATTCCAAACTTTCCAGTTATGGGGTAGCGGATGGATCAGAGCGGGGGTGGGTGTTAAATACAGGTTAGAGTCCAGGGCCGGTGAAGTTTACCTTTATCTGAGTTATTTACATGGCAAAGGTTCAAGTATTAAATTAACAGGAAACTACAAAGACTAAAAAAAAAAAAAAAAAGGCCCTATGCCAAGAATATTCCTTCCTCCTCTCTGTCCATGCCCTAGAAAATATCATAATACAAATAGAGTTTTTCTTATTTCTCTGGTTTTCAATGGTGATACAAAGCGAAACTAGGATTTCTGAAACAATTTGCTTCATGTTCTTTCAAAAAGAACTCGGTAGGAAGAGGGACAGGAAAATGCTGATTTGGAAAACGAGGAATAATCTTGGTCTAGTTGCAGGTAACCAACCCCTTTCTCCTCTTTTCTCCCTCTCTTTCGTCCTATTCTTTTTTCCTTCCTTCCCCTCCCCTCCTCTTCTCTCCCTTCCCCTGTCCCCACCTTCGCCATTTTCCTTTTCCATCACGTTTTCATTTCTTCTTCTTCTTCTTCTACTTCTTCTTCTTCTTCTTCTTCTTCTTCTTCTTCTTCTTCTTCTTCTTCTTCTTCTTCTTCTTCTTCTTCTTCTTCTTCTTCTTCTTCT